TTACCTGGAAGTGGGACATAAAGTACATTAGTCTAAATAGGAGATGGCTTTAGAGTGGTATCAGAGTCCTTGGGTTGAGCTAATGTGTTTGCTGCTAATTGAAAAATTGGTGATTCAAGACCATGAAGAGCTACCTTGTTACAAAGAAGTTGCTCACTAGGTCTACTCTGAGACATGTGATTACCATGAGTCAGAAATGACATGTCATCATGTCAATTGGATGGTAGCTGTTTTGGGTTTTTTCTTCTAAGAGTGGTACAGGTTTTTTGCAGTGATTTTGTGATTTAATTTTTTTGTGTGAAAAATGTGGACTTTGTTTAATGTAAATATGAGAATTAGCAAAGGAAATGTGAAGAAAACAATTTTGATGAGTTTCTGGGAGTCATTTAACTAAAGACATAAACTCATTTCTAAGCTGTCTGTTTCATCCTCCTCCATTGCCCAGCTCCTGATAGGAAGTTGTTCTTGATCACAAAAACTTGATAAATAAGCCAGATTGAAATTTAAATACGGTATATATGACTTGTTCAGGGCTTTCTTAATTTTAAGTATGAATTTCTTGGGTAGAAAATTCTCAAGTATGAATTTCTTTTCTAGCCATTGCAGAGCCTGTTTTTGCTGTGGTCAAAGCTGACTGATATACTCTGGTTTAAGTCAACTTATACAAAAATGTCTTCAACCCTGCTGGTCGAGACAAGAAAACTTAATGGGGTAGTTGGAGCTGAAAGCAGGTTAGGCAACTATTAAAAACATCACAGAACAGGTTAGACTGTGGTTTGAAGAAGTGAATATTTCTCTTGTTTTAAATGAGTTCATGGACCCAAGTCTTTTGGTCTATTTAAGTGAGGCTGTTTGGTTCTTCTAAAGACAGTTTTCATTTTCTGACACATGGTTAGACGTTCTTAAATACTTGCTCCTTTTTAAAAGTTATTTTTCTATGAGAGTAACCATTTACCCAAACAATCTGTTTCATTAAATATGTTAGTCCTTTAAAATAACATTTATAAAATTGGAAAAAATAATTCAACTTCTTATGCTGGAAGATTCAAATTGACTTTTTCCCCCCTTCCTGTCATGTGCCTTTTAATTTATAATGACATAATGGTATGTCCTAATCATCTTAAGTGTACAGCTTGGAGCAGTGCTTGCCCATTTGTTTTATTGTACTTAAACTGATTTTACCAAGATATTGGGGGACTATCTATTGATAAGTAATATATGCTTTATATTATGTCATCAGTAAGAAGTGAAGAACTAAAAAGCCTCTTTAGAACTTAGTTTTTAATAGCTAAAGTTTTTCTTTTCTAGCCATTAATTTATCATTATCTTTGTTCGATAATTTCCCTGAAATGTTACTTTACTCTTTAATTAAACAATAAACATTTCTGAATAACATGTTGAGAAATTTCTCTTCTGGTAACTAAGTTACTTAACACAGAATTTTTATTTGCTTTGAGACCTTCAGTGATAATCTTGTTACTTCAGATTTCCTCAATCTGCTAATCTTGCTAATCTAGGGAACAAACTTGATTCAGAATCCAAAGTGCTGACAGAAAAATGATAGTTGGGTGGGCTGCCCAAGTCTGCCTTCCCCTTTTGCTTTCTCTTTCTGCTTTTTCCATTAGGTCTGCACCTGTTCAGAATTTGGCAGGATGGCAAGAGGAGGAGCAGCAGGGTGAAACTGACACAGTTCTGGTGAGTTTCACTTTGCTGCTCCTCCTGATTCTCAGGGAAAGATTTTTGTTAGTTTCTATTGGAAATCATCCATCTCTAAACAGATCCCTAAGATGAGATGCCAAAATTATCTTTCAGAACTGATTCACTGTTTGTATGTGTTCTACTTACTCCAGTCCGCAGCTGCTCTTTGTGTTGGAGTTGGGAGTTTTGCTGATCCGGATGACCTGCCAGGGCTGGCACACTTTTTGGAACACAGTAAGATCTTTGTAAAATATAATTCCAGCGAGTGTTTTTTCCCCCTCAAATTTGGGTAAATTGATTTCAAGGATAGGTAATTGATTGGTAGAGGTATGGTACATTTACCAAGAGGGCTAAGAAAAAAAAAACCTTTCATTTATGATTATCATAGTTGAAAACTTTTAAACTCTTGAGTATTTGTATTAAGTGAGGATTAGAATGAAGCCATTTAGAAAACAAAACAAAATTGAAAACCCTCAGTTTAATTACCATATAAACCCTACTGCCTTTGTGTCAATTTTGACTCAGAGAGACAGTAGAACTTAGGGTTTCTGAGACTGTAAATGCTTACAGGAATAGCCATCCCCAACTTTCTCTTGCAGAGCAGTTGGTGGGTTCAAACTATGGGCCTTGTAGTTAGCTGCCCAGTGCTTAACTCAAGGCACCATCAGGGCTCCTTCAATTTAATTACAAATATACCTGAATAAAACTTGTATAGTGTAATACATCTAAAATCTTTAAATTTATATTTGTTTTTCTGAATTAACTCATTTTGTCTTCATTTTTTTGTTGATGGTTTATTCTATTTTTAAAGTTTTATTGTCACATAATCCACATAATATACTTTAGTAGTTCAATCATAGTGTATTCAGTTTTTATAAGATACTTGAGGGTTAAGCTTTTTACCTTATATGCTTTATAATAGCAATTTAATCTGAATGTATGCTTATGTTTACATTTTAATCTTTTTACAAATAAATTATATGTTTATTTGCCTTTTCATTTCTCCTTTTACTGACTTTTAAAAGTAATATGTGAGCATTATAGAAAACTCTCCATACAGAAACTTAATGAAGTAAGTAAGTATTCTTCGTGATCTTATAAGGAAACAAAACCACTGTTAATGTGTTAGTCTATTTTCTTTCAGCTTTTGAACATTTTTGAGAAAGTTCATACTTATTAATAAAATATCATGGTATCTTTATGTCTTTGACTTTGTGTTCTCTCCACTTAGTGGTATTCATGGGTAGTTTGAAATATCCAGATGAGAATGGGTTTGATGCCTTCCTGAAGAAACATGGTGGTAGTGACAATGCCTCAACTGATTGTGAACGTACAGTCTTCCAGTTTGATGTCCAGAGAAAATACTTCAAAGAAGCCTTGGATAGGTAACTGATTCAAAGTTTTTCTATTTTTAAAAATAATTTTATTGGGGGCTTGTACAACTCTTATCACAATCCATACATCCACCCATTGTGTCAAGCACATTTGTACACTTGTTGCACTCATCGTTCTCAAAACATTTGCTTTCTACTTTAGCCCTTGGTATCGGCTCTTCATTTTTTCTCCTCCCTCTCTGCCCTCCTCCCTCATGAACCCTTGATAATTTATAAATTATTATTATTTTGTCATGTCTTACACTGTCCGATGCCTCCCTTCACCCACATTTCTGTTTTCTGTCCCCTAGGGAGGGGTTATATGTAGATCCTTATCATCAGTTCCACCTTTTGTACCCCTCCTTCCCTCCACCCTCCTGGTATGGCCACTCTCACCACTGGTCCT